AAGTATGCATCCATACTTGTCCCTGGGCTTGGGGACAGAACTCCTGCCCTTCAACACAGCCGAGGAAGATATGATCAGAGTTCCCCAAGTTACCCAGGCATTAAATACTCCACATCAAATCTGAATTTTAACTGCTCCATCAGTTGCGGAGGGACAGAAAGAGACACACCATATTTTAAATACATCTCTTGTCCTAATCCCCTCTGAGCTGTAAAACCAGATACAATTAAGTTTTTACATTTTGCAAGTGATGAATGACTGACTAATAGGCTTACAGTGAGATTCAGAACCTGGAACAAGGTGTTCTTGCAGCACCCAACTGCTGAACCTGGGGTTTCCTCCAGCTCCTCCTTGTCTACCCATCTCCTCTTTACTCTGCCCTTCCTTTCCTACTTGGGGGCAGGGAGAGTACATCCTCATGTTTGCCAGTTCTCATGATAAAACCGCTATCACTATTTCCCCCAAAAGCATCCCACATCTCAAAATATATCTGATGTGTCTCTTTCTACCATTTAAAGGGGAAATCAATTTGCTGTCATTGGAAAATTTCAAAGGGACCTAGATGTAGAGAGAATTCTGTGTGATACTACGTGGCCCAGCCTCCTAATACCCTACCATTTAGAATACCCTTTTTCCTCTTCATCCCCTAGTTGAGTCCAACATCCTTGCAGGGTACAGCTCAAATGTCAACACTTCCTAGGAAGCCCTCCCGTCTCCCCAGTCCACAGGGAGCTGTCCTTATATTGTCAGCATCTGTACTCCAGTTGTGTGCATTCACCAAGCACTTATCAAAGGGTGCTGACATCTCCCCAAGGATGCTTATTATTTTCCTTAGCCAGACTGCAAACTCCAAAGGCAGCCCCCATAGAGAAGCTGAATCTTTTACTTGGCATTTATAAGAATTGCTATTAATCTTTTCATACACATATGTTTGATTCAATCTAGTTGCAGTTTCCTCTAGAAGTGGCACCAAGGTTGGCACAATGGTGTAAATATCCCAAGTTCATTAACTAACTGGCCAATTGACTGGTGACTGAGAGAATTTTCTAAAGGGTAAGAGGAAAATAACTTGGAAATGTCCCAATGTGTTTCTTTCTTTCTAGGTGCCTGTATCATATTCAATGGGGGAGAGAAGGGCTAAAGGAAAAAGGAGAGGTGAGAGAAGGGAAAAAAAGATACTGGTTAAGTACTGAGAGATTAAGTACTAATATTCCATTTCAGAGATGAGACAGTTAGGGGTAAGCAACAAATCTAAGGTCAGGCAACTGATCACTGAAGGAGGGTACACAGAAATTAAACATCTTGCCTTAGATCACATATTCAGCACTTGCTTGCAAGATGCAGCCCTCTTATAATTCTGTGATTTGGAATCAGGAAGAAATATTCCGATGACTGGGCTCAAAGTGGGAAACAAGAGGTTATTCCAGAGCATTAGGTAGAGAACTACAGTGTGGTAGGGGTTTCCAGGTCTCACGTTGATCAGAATCATCTGACTTGCTTATAAAAAATCAATGCAGATTTTCAGGTCTTGCCCCAGATATTAACATCTGGAGATGGAGCCTAGATAGTGTGCCATCTAATAAGCTCCCCCAGAAGAGTCTTAACTAGTCAGCCTTCAACCAGCACCTGCTCCAAGCAGCTTCTAAATGCAGAAGGGTCCAGCCTTGGAATCCTGGTTCTGTGACTTATCTACCAGGTGGCTTTGAAAAGGGCACCTCTGTCCTTTAAGTCTCAGCTTCTTCGTTTATGAAACAGGGACAGTGGTATTAATATAAACACCACAGGATGGTTGCAAGGATAAATGAGAAAATGTTGATGATAGGTTAGATATGCTTTTGCACTTTGTCTAAATTAATTTCTGGTTTGGGAACAAAGCTACATCTTCTGGCCATACACATGAGCATCCAGAGGGCTGGGTGCAGAGAAGTCAAAGTACACAGCTGACATGAGTCTCACCTTGGACAAGGGAGAGAATCTCTTGGCTTGAAATTTCTATAGAGATAGTTTTGGGGGTTGGGGGAACTTCTGTGCCTCCTGCCTCTCTTGTACCCACTTCTTGTTCTTTTGGGAAACAACCTCAAATTTTACCCCTATATTCTGTTCCCATATCTTTTCATAAAATGATTCTCCCAGCTTCTGAGAAAACTCCAAGCTCTTCAGTGCTGTGATCCCACCCTGCAAGGGGGCATTCTGCCAGCTCAGGGGAAAAACAAATTTATTTCTTTTCATGCTTTAAGACATTATTGGCTGCATATTGTTTTAGTGCAGCACATAATTACAGAAACTGCTCTGAAAATCTGTATATTTTATCTGTGCTTTATTATACTCAGAATATTCCCCAATCCTTTTTCTTCTCCATGAACCAGCTTAAAATATATTTTGGCGTCCTTTATGTCATCTTGAAATTGAATAGCCAATTCTTACTGTAATGAAAATACTTATGCGCCAGCCCAATGATATACAACACTACACTCTAATTATGGCTGTGCTTTAATTAACCTGAATTGAAGAGTGTTATCATTAAACTGCTGGTAACTTTGAGTTATGGCTTTTCTTTAATTTAAAGTAGAAAACACAGATAATTAAGCCTCCAGATAATCAAATGCTTGAGGAGAGCGTCAATGTTTTGGGATGTTCCTAAATCTCATTAAATGTCCTTTCTTTATTGATTATTTCTACCTCTGTTGTATCATTGTATTAAACGAATAATAGCACTAAGTTGAACACATTCTCACTCACGTCAGAGGTAGTGTTTTGTTTTGTTTTTTTTTTGTATTCCAGAAGCTTTACTGAACAAATACTAAATTTTCTGACAACAAGGTAGGTCTGGGAGATTTCTCTCCTCCTTGGGACATGTTCTAAATACAAAAATCAATCAAGAGAGATATTCACAGCAGCCACTAGTGTCAGCACCTGAGCAGCTCTGAAAGCCAATAAAGTTCTACACCACCCAGTGGGTCAGGGTTGGCAAATTCACATGTCTACAGGGCCAGGCCTAGGATTTATGTGCAAATCTGGCTTGGTTTAAGATATCGGGGAGGGAAGGGACTAAACTAACCCTCCCACTACAGCAAACTGGAGCCAGTTAGCACTCGGTAGACATGTAGGTCCTATGTTGTCATGTCACATTTTCAAAAGAGGCCATAAATCTAGTTTTTAATGTGAAATGCCACTATTATAAAATTAAAGAAAGAAATAATTAAATACTGTGTAGGGCAATTGTGTGAGTCAAAGGTGGCTTGTGGATATCCCAGTTAGAGCCTCTAGGGGGAGCAGTCCTAACCCCTCAGGTTATTCTGAAAAACTGACTTGAGTTCCCAGAAGTGGAATTAAGAGAAGGGAGGGGAAAGAAGGAAGAGCCCAGGGGGCTTTCCAGGGAAACACTTGTTAGACACAAACACCAGGCAAGCAGAGAACTCAAAAGCCAAGAAAGGGGGTTTCATGACTCCTCTGCTAATGCCCCCAAAACCTTAAGACTCCCTGCAGGGGCTGGCAGCTCCACTGTGTGCTCAGAGCACCACCTTAGACAGATGAGGCATCAATTGCCTTTTTATATAACCAGTTTCTGTGAGAAGCCCTGCCTTTCCTGGGGACTTTCCATCCCAGACAGGCCAAGCTCCAAGGAGCTCAGTGTTCCAGGACCCAATACCTCTGAATGGTTAACTTCTTTTCATGGCAGAAAGAGAAATAGCTCTCAGAAAAAGGAAACACATGGGAGTTACAACAGGGCATCCATTTTCAGAAAATAACTCCTTCTGAATCAATTACCTATTCACTTTTCCAGTCCATTTAGCATTTAAACTTTCGCTTAGAGACAGGGTGAGAAATTTCAGTAAACAGACAAACCATTTTGGATGCTTAGGGTCTGGACCCAGGGACTGACAGGGTGCGCCTGCTGCGTTCACTGACAGGTGTCTCCAGGTAAACAGGAAGCTATCAAGCACTCCGTTCCCCTCCCTCATGCATCCAGAACAGAATACTACCATACAGATGAGCCCAAGAGCAGGCAGGACTGTCCTCTCCTTTATTGTAAGGGACACTCGGTTTCGTTTCTGCATTTTCAGACCTCCCATCAGAATGGCGGGTTTGGCTTGTAAGTAGGTAGGGTGTGCAAGCAAATGGCTTTTCTTCCTCAGTCCAATAAGTTCCCAGATTCCCCTGTTTCATTCCAGTTTTTATGAGTAAGACAGTTTACCAAATACTCCACTAAGGTGCCAGTAGATCAGGCTTAATGTTTCATCATTCTCAGGAGGTTTGTGTTTTCGCATGGGACAAAGCTGCTGCTTGACTCAAACCCAACATCTGAGACTCTAAGTGGGGAATCTGAGTCAGTGTCATGCCTATGGAGGATACCTGGAGCACCTATTCTACCTGGTGGGGCCATGGCAGGCTGGGACTGCCCCTTGCTTTGATCCATCCTGCTGAGCCAGTATAAAGAGGAGTTAAGATTTGTTATTATAATATGGCAGTTGTCCATGTGGGGGCTAAACTGCTGAGAACATTTTCAAAGACTCCTTCTGCACATTTGGTTCCATATTTCCTCAGCAAAGGGTGAAAGCACTTTGAATGGCCTTATTTCAGTAGCTTCTCTGATGTCTCTATGATCTGACTTGATTGGAAGACAGATTAAAATTCCTTTCATCAAGGGGCTGGCAAGATTTGTTTTGCCCTATAAAGATCAGAGAGACATGGGTTCATGCCACTCTTCATAAGTGTGTCTCCATCACAGGAGACATGCAGCATAACTGCAGTTCATAAGTTAGTACAAATGATGAATCCAAGCCCAAGACTCTCAGACCTGGAGGAAAAAATGGGGCCAGAGGAAATCCCTGAGGCAGGGGCCATGTAATGATCTGCCTTTCTGTTCATCACAGAAGGCTGGGCACACGGGACACCCTCAACAATTAAGTGCTCCCCCAGTGGTGCAGAGCAGAAGTCGTGACTTCCTTTCACGGACACATTCAATATCCCCAAAGAGCATCCAGTTAATGGTCACTTACTCACAAACAGTAGGGAAGGACAGACCCACGAAGGCACTGGAGAGATATTCTGTGTACATTTCATTTGAGACTCCTTCCAAGTAGTATTTTTGCCACGTGTCTTCCTCAATCTGAAGGAAAGGAATACATGAGGAGAGTTTAAAATATGACCATGGGCTGTGAAAAGGACACTTAAGTTACACCCTCTTGCAAACAAATGAATGCACTGGTTAGATAATGATTACCTTCTCCAGCAACCGGGAACACAACCACAGCACCCACATAAAGCTCCCAATATTCCTAAACTCATAAACTTGAAGTGTATCTCCTCTAAAGCATCACTTCTTTTTCAACCTGTATGATTTCCAAGGGTGTGGAGACAAGGCTATTCACCCACAATATTGATGGGCAAGTAAACTGATACAACTTTTTTGGAAAGCAGTGTTGCAATTGTTATCAAAATTTTTAAAAGAAAACACTCTTTTACACAACAATTTCATTTTAAGTATTCATAGCAAAGAAACAAGTATACAAATGTAAAAAGACACACATACAAAAACATCTTTTCTATTCCTGAAAAACTGGAAATAACCCAAAGTGGTACATTTCTACAATGGAACACCCAGAAGCAAGTAAACATTATGATGAAAATGTATACCTATTCATATATAAAGTATGTTAAAAGGCATATTACAAAATAGTATGTAAGTTGGATCCTACTTTTTTAAAGTACCCTATAGTTATTCAAATGTTTGTAAAGCCACATCTCTGAGTGATAGAATGAAACTTTTTCTCTCGATGTCTAATGTCTGACAACTTTACAATGAGCATATATATCTTACAATAAAACAATATATTTTTACTTTGAAAAAAAAGAAAATAGATTTTTCTGATCCTACCTAAAATCTCACAAAAAAAGGAGACAGTGGTTTCCAAGAAGTCTTGTCCCAAATTTCATTAAAATAGGTATTTTTTAAAAATTGCCCAACTCAGCTGATTTTCCCAGCAACTCTCTTCATGCCAGGCATTTCTGAAAGGATTTGATATTGGAATCAGTCTTTAGAAATTAGTGAGTCGCAAGAATGCTGAGCCCCTCTGGGAACTTAGGGATCTCACAGGCCTCCCAGAGGGTAGGAAGGAAAGCTGTGTACCCTTGGGTGTCCTTGAGCCACAACTTCCCAGGCTTCACTTCTAATGCAGGCTGAGGTTAGAGGAAGATGAGAGGAAGCCACCTGCCAACAGGAAGTGGCTTTCTACAGTTTCTTGTACTGATCTTGTACTGAAGGGTATCTTGCCTATGGCCAGTCAGTTAATTGGGAGAAATACCACACTTAGATTGGAAGAAGACATGGAAACAGTAGGAAAGGACACACTTAGTGTTTATGTGGTAACACTGTGGCATACAAAAGCCAGGAAAAAATTTAGACATAAACTGAATTTCCCTGCCTCTGTGCTATTTGTCTACTCTGTACTCAACCTGGATGATTGTGTAGGTTAACCTCATTAGATTGAGTTGCTTCCAACCTACTCCCATAGGTTAGACATTAGCTATGCAGTGCTGTTGAGTAGGAGCTGTTTATCTACAAATTGGTCTTCTCCAGAGTGGGATCTTTAAAAAAAAGTCACTCAGCCGCCACTTTTAGTGCTAAACAATGTGATTTTAAAAAATTAACTGTAATGTGTTTAGCTAAATTAACTTTTTAATTTCTCAGTCATAAAATCTCAATAATTTTTCAAATAAAAGATATGCTTGACTTATAAGCAAAGGTCACAAATTCTAACAAATTCTAGTCTTAATTTGAAGTAAGACTAGTCTGCATTAGTAAAAATTTTGAAATATAGAACATTTGGGGAACAATATTAACATACTTTGTTTTATTGGTAAATAGGATACTATATGTGGTATTGCTAATTATAAGTCCTCATACTAGAGCTTTATGGGAAAATATTATTTCTGAAGAAAAAGAATTTAACCAATTCTTTTAGCAAAGACATTTCTTTTGTAATGTGTTGCTTATGCTCTAATTTAAACACTACAATCGATTTTCAGGAATAATGAAAATATGGAACTTTAGCTTAATTATTATTGATTGTTGGTGGTATTCTTTAATTAATATAGTTCTTTTAATTGTGATCAGTATTTTCATGCCTCTATGTCCTAATGGAGCTACTCTTTGGACCAAATTTTATTGTCATTGAATTACTAAATAGTTTAAATAAGTGAGAACAGATTCTTTGTAGGATAACAATATCATTAATGCCTGTTTTAAATGTAGCAAATACTGCTTATTGATTCATTGACTCATTCATTCAGCAAATATTTATTGAGCATATTCTTTATCTTAGGATCTGTTCTAGTTGCTGAATAAATCTTATTTAAAACTGGCATTAACTTTTCCATATTTTTTTCTTTGCCAGAAAGACTACCAGATATATCTGGCTATGATATATCTGGCTTTTACTGATTTTCCACATCTCTTTTCCTACAAGTTTGCCTTTGTGACTAATCTGAAATGCTTGAGGACTGAAAGTCAAATAATTGTAAAAAATGTACACAATATTCTAGACAGCAAAATGCTTCTTCCACATTCTTATGTAAATTCTCAAATAGTATCTACACACTAAATATAGTAGCACTGAATCATCTATATAAACGCTGAAGACGTCTACTGTCATAACCCTTTGTTTATAATTTTCACATCTTTGACTATTTCCATGTGGATAGTCAACATACTTTTCGAGATTTCTGATAAAGGGATTACAAAAAAAGGAGTATAAAATCACTAAATTACACTGGCATCTTTTCAAAAAATATATGTAGTTCACAGGAATGTAAAATGACATAGCTACCATGGAAAACAGTATGGTTGTTCTTCCAAAAATTAAAAACAGAATTATCATATGATCAGCAATTCCATTTCTATGTATATAACCAAAAGAAATGGAAGCAGCAACTCGAATAGATATTTGTATATCCATGCGCACAGCAGTAGTATTCATAACAGCCAAGAGGTAGAAGCACCACAAGGACCCTGGACAGATGAATAGATGAACAAAATGTGTTCTAGCCATCCGGTGGAAAATTACTCAGCCTTAAAAAAGAAGAAAATTCTGACACAGACTACAACATGGATGAGACTTGAAGGCATGATGCTAAGTGAAATAACCCAGTCACAAAAAGACAAATATGTTATTACTCTGCTTATATAAGGTACCCAGAGTAGTCAAATTCATAGAAACAGAAAGTAGAATGGTGGTTGCCAGGAGTTAGGGGGAGAAGGAATGTGGTCTTTGGATGGAAAAAAAAAAAAGTAAAAGGTGTTGAATTTAAAAACCTTGTGTTTAACACCAAGAAAATATGAACAAAGAAATCTGGACAGGGTGAAGGTAATTACTGTCATTATGATTCCCTTTTGACAGATGATAAAACTGAGGCACAGGGAGATTAAGAAACCTTTTAAAGGTCAAAAACTAATAAGTGGTACAAACAGGATTCAGGGTTCATGATCTTAACTACCCACCACAATACCTCTTGCTAGAGATGATAGAATAGATTTCTAGGGAAATTGTGGTGCTAGACTCTGGAAAGAATGGGGATGATTTGCTATATACAAGTACCTAAAAGGGTCAGATTCAAGCCTGCTTATTGACAATAATAATAATTTTAAAAATAATAATAATAACAGTACCTAAAAAAGAGACCTGAGAACAGAAGCTCATCAAGGACTCAGAAACTCAAACCCTGGAGCCCATGACTGTGAGAGGACAGTAAGGAGTAATACTGGTTTTGAGTTCAGCTGAAAGGGTAACTCAGGCCTCCTCTCAGAGCATCATTTCCATTATACAAAATGGAACCTTCACAGCCTACAACTTCTTTCCCAAAATAGTACATGCTATTCTCCACATTTGTGTCGTCAATGTATTTTTAACTGTAATGTGAAGACATACTTCCCAGCAGAAAAATGAAGGAATGAGACCAAAATGACTTAGGGAAAGGTGCCAAAATTAATTTGCCAGTCACTCAGCAATCAGTCAAAAGCAAAGTACTTCCTGAGGCAGCAATTTATCCCTTGGCTGTCACATCAAAGCCCAGCTGTTTCAGAAGAGTGTCTGGCAAAGATGAGCAGGTGATGTTTTGTGGGTCCTTATTCATCAAATACACACAGAATTCTCAGTGAGAAAAGGGAATTGAGCCATTGGACTAGCTTGTCTACACCTCTCATGGTCTTATTTATCTACTCTTTATTATCTAATTTTTCAACCAGTCTAGTTTAACCTCCCAAGCAAATGGTTTTACACCAATCCATGGGCAGACAGCTCTACCATAAAATGTACCTTCCAACTGGAAACAGAGGCCTTGGCTCCCAGGAATTCACACCTTCCCGATCCCAGGTTCTGCATGTGTTACTAATGGTGGGTTGGTAATGATGCCTTTTATTTTTTATGCTTCCTCTGATTAGAGTGAAACTGTGTTTCTCTAATGCTAACAGCCCAGTGAATGTGAAAAATTCAGCTCTCCTGGCTTGGGTATGTTACAATCACTGTGATTTCTGTTCCCAGTAAAGATTCTGAATAACTGTGTTGATTACTGCCAGATAATTTTGTAAAAGTCCATCCCTACCTCTGGACTCACATAAATAATTCCAAAGATTATCATACACCAATCCTTATTTAATTGAAAACAAGCACACTGTTTTAATCCAAATACATGTTATATTATACACATCAAAAATAAAGAACTAAAAGACAATTATAAAAACCAATGACCATTATGCTAATAGCTGCAATAAGAAGAGATGAGTCGTAACATACACACAGTAACACTGCCCAAAAATGGGTTGCAGAAGGTTGGCTGTTGCAAGAACTTATTACATTTACTATTTTTTTAAAAAATCTATCTGAATAACCAGTGAATATTCTTCCTCTAAAGGTTTCAAAGTTCTAAATTATGGAAATGCTTAATATAAATGAATTAACCACATCTGAATGAATATTTACACATATAAATCATGTAATGCATTGTCACTGTCCTTTATAATGTGACAGTCTAAAACAGAATGCAGCAACATGAACTGGCTAACATATCTTAGATCCCATAAAAACATATTTATTCTGACAGAAAAAGAAAGTA